GAGAGTTATGACTTCTCCTTTTTGTCATATTTGGAAACCCGGTATTTGTGATAGGTTTTATCGTTTTGGTTTGTTGGCTACTTATGCCTTAAACTACTTTAAAAATATATATACACACAAACACACACACACACACACACACACACACACCTATAATTAGAATTAATGACAAAATCTTAGATGGATGATGGATGATGGACAAGATTAATTGAGAAATTAAGGAAATGATCAAATAAATGGAAGAAATTTAGATTAAACGAGATATGGGAAAATATTAAATGGACATGTTAAGTTGGAACCAATGTTCCTAAATTGATTTGGAACCAATGTTCCATAACCCGGAAATGATTTTATCCCTTAAATAAATAGTTTGAATAGATCAATTGAATTAATTGGATGCTAAATTTTATTAGTTTGATTAAATCGTCAAACCATATAATTTTATCCAAAATTATGATTTTTACTTAAATTTATTATTTCCAAAATTGATTACTTTCCTAGTTACTCGAATTGTAGAAGAAAATGATGGAGATTCATAATTTCAATTTAATTAGACTATTTTCCCAATATTTTAGATTTTATGGAAAATGATAAGGATTTGTGTTTTAAAATAATTTCAAATTAAGGACTTTTATAAAAGAAAAGAACCAAGTTTTACTCGGTTTATTATATTAAGAATATTTTCTAATTAAATGAAATTTAATCAAATGGTTTTAAATTTATTTCCATAGAATTAATTTAACTAGTTTTATGTTAAATAGAATTTTTTTAAATAAAATCCAATTTTTTATTAGGAATTTGAGAAAAATAAAAGACATAGTTCAAATTAGTTTTATATAAGGTATTTTATTAAATTAATTAAATTGGATTATGACAATCGAGTTTTTGATCCAAAATCAAGGTTTAATATTTCTACACATATAGTAGGATTATTAATTGATATTAGAGGAATTTATGAAAATTTGTATACTTAATTTCTAATTTAAATAGACCTATTAAGCTTTTTATTATTAGGGACCACATTTGAAAAATTAGTAGTGAAATTTTAGAAGAACAGGAGAGGATGCTTGTTGTCTTGCATTCATTGCTCTTGGAATGTAAGATGATATCGATAATATTCTTAACCTATCTAGGCTCTAGGTTGGGAGTGTTATAGTGTTGATATCGGAGCGGTTTAAATAGGTTTGATCTAGAAATACTGGTTAAGAGACTGCATAAGTACACGCAAGTCGAGCCTCGACAATAAGTATGTTTGGTTGAATATGCTTATTAATTATTCATGATTGATTTGTATGCGTGAAATAACCTAGGTTAGTATGATTGTGATTTGATTTAAGGGTAATGGTCAAATTATTTCATGAATGAGTAAGTAAGAAGAAAATATATAATTATGTAAATTATTAGGATGTCGTCTAAAAGGGACAACGGTAATAATGCGGGTCCTAATAGGAGGCATAATGATAATGAAGTGGGTTCAAATAGGAATGTAGTGGACCATGAGGAATAACTTATGGTGCTCGCTTTAGACAACTGCAAGTAATGATGCAAAGATTAATAGATATACACTAAATCCTATGGTAGCTAGACAACAAAAATGAGCCGACATAGTTGAATGCTTTTGGAAATTCAATCCGAAAGAATTTTAGGAAAAACTTGACCCCATGGCTTCTAAAGAATGGCTAAAATCAATGGAGATGATTTTTTTATCATTATTGAGAAAGATAGGTATGATACCGAAAAAGCTAGACGTAGTTTATTAGGTGGCTCTTTCGTCGGAAGAGTCAATGAAATCTCACGGTATAGTTAGGGACTTTGAGATTCGGATTGACGGTAAGATATTGAATATTGATTTAATAGCATTAAGACTTAAAGATTTTCATATTATCTTGGGCAAGGATTGCTTGTCCAAGTGCGGAGCATCCATTGATCGTTTAGCTAAAAAGATAGTATTTCATCGATTGAGAGAGCAACCAATTGAGTTGGAAGCTAAAACTAGAATGAAGCCGGTGACCAAAGTTTCGAAATGACTCGCTAGAAGATGATAAAAGATTGATGTATGGATTATTTGGTGAGTGTGGTGGATATTGATAAGGAAGGGAGTCTAAGATTAGAAGATATTGAAGTGATGAAAGATTTTCCTAAAAGTTTATCGGGATTACCATCAAGGAGAGAAACCGAGTTTGAAATTGAACTAGAATCAAGAACAACGCTAATATCCATGGCACCTTACAAGATGGCTCCAATAGAATTAAAGAAATTAAAGACTCAACTACGAGGAACTGCTACATAAGGGCTACATTCGGCTAGTTGTTCACAAAGTAGAGCATTGGTATTTTTTGTTAAGAAGAAAGATGGATCACTATGATTATATATTGATTATCGGGAGTTAGATCGAGTGACCATCAAGAATAAATATCTATTTCCCCACATTGATGAATTATTTTGACTAATTATAAAGAAGTGTATTATTTTCTAAAATTGATTTACAATCAAGATATCATGAATGGAGGATTGAGGAAGATGATATGAAGAATACGACCTTCCAAACTTGATATAGGCATTATGAATTTTTGATAATGTCATTCGGGTTAACTAATACTCTAGCTATATTCATGGATTTGATGAACCAAGTGTTCCATAAATACTTGGATAGTTTTTCACGTTCTTTATTAAAGATATCCCGATTTATTCTAGAAGCCACGAGAAGCATATGAAGCATATAATAAAGGTGTTACAAACATTACGTGAGCATAAATTGTATGCTAAACTTAAAAAGTATGCATTTTGGCTTGAGCAAGTAGTATTCCTTAGACATGTAGTTTTTAAGGATGGTGTTATGGTAGATCCTAATAAGGTATATGCGGTTTAACAATGGAAGCGACCAAGGAACATATCCGAAGTTAGAAGTTTCCTTGGGAAGGTAGGCTACTACAAGAAATTTGTAGAAGGATTCTCTAATATAGTCACGCCATTGACCAAGCCGACATGGAAAAATGCTAAGTTCGAGTGAGATGATAATTGTAAAAGGAGTTTTCAAGAGCTAAAAATCAGATTCCTATAGCATTAATTTTAGCTCTTCCAAAGGACAATAAAGATTTCATGGTCTATACAAATGCTTCGAGGATTGGACTAGGAGTTGTGCTAATGCAGTATGCAAAAGTAATTGCCTATGCTTCACGGTAATTAAAAGACTATGAGAATAACTACCCCACTCATGATTTAGAATTAGTTGCTATAATATTTATATTGAAAATTTAAAGAAACTAATTGTATGGTGTCGGATGTGACATCTACACCGATCACAAGAGTCTTCAATGTATTTTCACTTAGAAGAAGCTAAATATGAGACATAGGAGGTGGCTTGAAGTACTCGAATGATCATGACATTGCTTTTCATTACCACCTTGGTAAAGCAAATGTCGTGCCGAAGCATTAAGCGGAAAGTCAATGGTTGTTTTATAGGTAAGAATTATTATAGATATAGAGAGATTACGATTAGAAGTGGTGCCAAGAGGAACTAATCATGGATTACCGAATACAATAGTGTTGAAACCAAATTTGAGACGAGAGAATTAAAGATGGACAAGTGTAAGATGTTGAGTTGGTGAAGATTCGACGGGAACTAGCCAAAGAAAAAAGAATTGAGTTTGCTATGGATGATGATGGTATTTGGCACTATTGTAGCAGATTATATGCGCTTGCTATAAAAGAGCTATGGGGTGATATTTTAAGAAAAGCTTATGCTACACCCTACTCTATTTATCCTAGAAGCACTACAATATATCGAGATAAGAAGGAGATTTATTGAAGGAAAGGAATCAAATGAGATATTGCTGATCATGTAACATGATGTTTAATATATCGGTAAGTTAAGATTAAGCACCGAGAGGTCTTTAGGATTACTAAGGCCATTAGATATTCTTGAGTGGAAATAGACGCATGTTACTATGGACTTTGTACTCTAATTGCCTAGATCTAAGAGAGGAGTTTGATGGTTTATGGGTGATTCTATATAGACTTACCAAATCAGCTTATTTTTTGATGATCAAGTCCACATATTTCATGCAACGAGTATGTAAAATTATACTTTAGAGAAATTATAAGATTGAATCAAATACTAGCTTCGACTGAATCTGATCGAAACCTATGGTTCACATCACGATTTTGGAAGAGGACTTCATCGGTTGGAATCCTGGTTTTGTGACTACCTTTTTTACGAAAGTGGGCTTTTTTGCGGTTGATGTTGTTTATTTCTATTGAAACTTGATACTTTTACGTCTTTAAAAGTATGACAGGTTTTGGAAACTACAACCCAGAAACTTTTGAAAGGTGGTAACTTTTGTTGGACTTATGAGAATTAAAAGTTGTTCTATATCTTATGCTTACCTTGATAGAGATGTATTTTTTTATTGTCTCCTAGAGTGTTAGTCAAGAGAATGCCTGTTTTATATGATCATAAAATTTTAAAGACAAATAGAATCGAGAAACTAATGATGTTGTCCATATGGCATGAGTAGATCTCAGTCTCGTTTGAGATGTGCTTCTGTATGTTATGTGCACTCATTCCTTGCTTTAGGGTCGTCACTAGTGCATAGAAACCAATGGGATCAAACTATGTTTAGATTAGAACTTTGGACCATGAAAGTGGACACATTGAATGGATAAGATGAGGTCCGGGAAATAGATTGAACAGATGGCCATTAAAGAAAGCACATGACGAATTACCCTCTAGTTTAAAGTCAAAGTCTAGGAATTTTAGAGCAAGATGCGTGCAGGGAACACTTCAGCAGATGATTAAAAGTTCACCAGCTACAATTGCAAAATGCAGAAGCAAACTTTATAGGAATTTGTGGTCATCTGTTAGTAAAATATTCAATGTAACGTTAATTGTGGCTCTCTTTGATGACTTTGTGCTCAAAGAATGCCAAAATTTCTCAGATTTTCAACAAGTGTTTCCCCCACAGTAGAGCCAGCCTTAATAAATACAGCAACTGGAGCCTCTACCAAGGCTTCCGAACCTTTCTCTTTAAATAGTTTTCCTGACCAGATATGCTGCTAGGCACAAGCTTCACATTGCTTCTTCGCATACAGAATATTTTCTCCCTGTCATTCGCTTTCTTGCTTTGGCCTTCACTCTGGTCTTTCCGATACATTTGTAGCAACCTCCTGAAAAATTTTATTCTGAGTTCCTAAATTCTATCCAGTCCATGGTATTTGAAATCTAATATTCTCACCACTCAATATGGCCAATAATAATTAATATGCAACCATTATCAAGAATTACCTGTATCTGAACTCTGTCATGTCTTGTCAGGTCGAATACAGAATAATTGTATCCTTCAAGGTAAAGAGACCTCATCTTAGATGTTATGTAGAATGGTGAAGGAGCACAAGTTGTACTCCAACCACCCCCAGCCCTGCAATAGGAAGCAAGAAAGGAAAGATTTTGAGCTTAAATATTTTTCATATTTGTGTTTGGCTGAAATATATTGGTTGAATAGCTAATAGCTAGTCTACCTGTAGCTAACCAAGTTAGCAGCAAAAGTAATAGGTTGGTCCCCTCTTCCAATTCCTGCTTTTAAACAAAATTGGGCACCCTTTTGCCTTTGAAGTCCATATGAGAGAACTGCTCCCCGGTGAAACGTTTCATTTCCTTCGCTGGAATAGGTAATACAGACTGTTGAATTCTGTCAACTCTGTAGCCTTCATTTCCATTTTCTCCTCTGGTGAGGAAGGAACTGCAACAAACCCTCTAGACCTTGTAAAGGGCCAATGCCATCCAAGCTTTTGTTTTCTAATCTTTCCTAGCTTCCACCTTAATAGCCGGTATCTTTGAAATGCCTTATTGCCCGGGCTTCAGAACTCTGAGCCTGTCATATATGTCCACTTGCTGTTATCCTGCTTGAAAAGGTGAGAAATCCATTGTATCCTCACTGCAGATTTTGACAACTATTTTGTAAAAATAAAAATTTAGAAATTTAGAAGATAAAGAGTGTCTACCATTTTGCTTCTCTGCATGTCTCGACGTCACTTCTTGTTTGTCTCTCCATTACGGTCTTTGCTCTAGCCTACCATCCCAATGCCATCCAATTTCTTTTTTCTATGTCAGCATAATAATCACGATAGTGCTTGATGAAAAATTCAACATCCTTCGCCTTGCTGTTGTTTTTGTTTGGTGCTTTTGAGAGGAAGGTGCTTAAATTTCCGGTTAAGAATCAATAGAACGCCTATGATTTATGAGATTGACTATTAAGGTTTCATAATCAGGGTAAATTTTAGCGATTGTGAGGGTATGGAGTGATTTAAAAATGAGAGACAAGAATTTTTTTTGATAGCCTGGCTTAAGGTCAGGTTTAAGGTTTGCGTTAGGTTTAGGGTTTTAAAAAAGGGTTGTTCTTCATCTTCTACTTCTTCAATGGAGAAGAGATTTTTTGTGTGCTCGAAAATGAGGGAATCACAGAATCGAGAAAGAAAATCTTCCATTGTTAGAACGACTCTCTTGAGATAGAAATGAAACGGTCTTCAATATGGTGTTTTTCTTTTTATAAAGCTCTTGTTCTTAACTAACTACTAAGAAGAGTGCTATAGTGTTAATCTTTTAGTACTAAGAAGAAGATTATATGTTGATAGTTTGTTGTCGTCCCAAGTATACTTTACAACTACTTCTAGTACTTTGTTGTCATGCCATGTGTAATTCATAACAAACTATCAAAAATAGTGGAATCAATTACCAGAAGAAATAGTCATACTTTGTTGAGCTTCTTGAACTATAATATAATCACTCATATTTCAAATTAAAAGTTTACTAGGATCGAAATCGGGTTTTCATAATTTGGGAAAGATCCCTCCATCCAACTGGGATTCCTAAATTTAATTTGATGCTTGGTACTTGGCAACAATCTTTTGTTTGATTAATTAATTTTATAACCCAAAGCTGACTTTTTTCCTATCTTATTTATATTTTTCCCAATTTTCTATATTTTTCCCTTTCAAATTTCCATACATTTTTAACTATCTCACAAAAACACGTAGGAACCAAATTAAAAAGTAGGGTATTAATTGTGAGAGGTAACATTAGAATTTTTTAGAAACTAAGAAGGTAATATTGAAAAACTTTAAATTATAAGAGTAGAATTGAAAATTTTTGAATTAATAGGGACAAAAATGAAGTTTATCATATTGTGTATATGTATATATATATGGTCAAACACAAATGATAGAGATACACACAGACAGAGAATATCCATTTCAGTATCCGAATCCATCAAGAGAAAAGGAACCAAAAAGCAAAACAAACCTCTCCTTGATGCCCATTTTCTCTGAGGGTCTTGCTACAGCTTCCAAGTTCACCAAGCATGCAAAGTTCATCTGTCTTCGTTCAGTGTCTAAAACCTGTCATTTCCAGGTTGTTTAATAACTTTTTCTCTCCCTTTCTTTGTTATCTCTCCAATGCATGTTCTTGAGTCTTGGTTTCAAGTCTTTTCGTTACAAACAACAAGAATAGCTCAATGTTAGTGAACGGGATGCTGTGTTTATGTTAAAACATCTTGAAGTTCTTTATATATATATGTATATAACAAGCACTTAAAAACTGTGTGATTCTGTTAAGTTTGGCAAAAATACATGGGCTGGCTGCTTTAAGCAGGGTTGAATTATGAATTCTAAGTGACTGTTTGATTGATTGTCTCAAAGAGGACTTTGTCAGTTGGAATCCTGATTTTGTGACTACCTTTTTACGAAAGTTGGCTTTTTTGGAGTTGATGTTGTTTATTTCTATTGAAAATTGAGTCTTTTTATGTCTTTGAAGCATGACAGGTTTTAGAAACTACAACCCAGAAAATTTTTCTTTTCTTTTCTTAAAGGGGTTAACGTTTGTTAACTTATGAGAATTAAATGTTCTACTATACTTTGTGCTATCGCCTTGATGGGGAAGATTCTTTTATCATCTCCTAGTGTGTTGGTCAAGAGATTGCCTGATTTATATGATCATCAAATTTCAAGGCAAGTAGATTTGAGAAACTGAAAATGTTGTCCATCTGACATTGATAGACCTCAGTCTCGTTTGAGATGTGCTTGTGGATGTTATGTGAACTCATTTCTTTAGGCTTGTCACTATTGCATAGAAACCAATGGGATCAAATCATGTTTAGATAACAACTTTAGACCATGCAAGTGGACACATTGAATGGATAAGATGAGGTCAGGGAAATAGATTGAACAGATGGCCATTAAAGAAAGCAGATGATGAATTACCCTCGGGTTTACAGTCAGGGAATCTAGGAATTTTAGAGCATGATGCAAGCTGGGAAAACTTGAGCAGATGTTGATTAAAGGTTCAACAAACACAATTGCAAAATGCAGAAGCAAACTTTATAGGAATTTGTGGTCATCTGTTAGTAAAAAATTAATTGTAATGTTAATTGTGGCTCTCTTTGATGACTTTGCGCTCAAAGAATGCCAAAATTTCTCAGATTTTCAACAAATGTTTCTCCCACAGTGGAGCCAGCCTTAATAAATACAGCAGGATATCCAACTGGAGCCTCTACCCAGGCTTCCGAACCTTGTTCTTTAAATAGTTTTCCTGACCAGATATGCTGCCAGGAACAAGCATCACCCTCTGGAAAATAAGCCTTGACATTCTTCTTGCCTTTGTCAAGTACAGGCACCACTAGGATTTCAGTACCAATCAAGAACTGCTGGTAACTCAAGCTATGCACATTCCTATCATTTGGGTAGTGGAGAAATAGGTGGCGGCAAACTGGTAGGCCTTTCCGAGCAGCTTCCTGTTTTATAAAAAACAGAGAGAGATGTTTATTAGATGCTCTGCCAAAGTTGATTGACTTGACGTGAAAGCTACATACATTAATCAGGTATTACCTTTACTAGTTGGATTCTGTAGGAATACCAAGCTTTGTACAACTTAGCACAGCGTGCAAAATGTGATAAAGTTTTGTGGTTGGAATAGAATTGGCTGTTGCAGGATGGCTTGTTTCCCTGCATGCAGAAGATTTATGAAATGTGTAACCTATGAGATCATATCTGGTCATGTTGCTTAGTTGAAAATACTCTAGAGTTGTCATACAAGAAATAAATAAAAAACGGTTGTTAGTGCAATAAAGAAAAGTCTATCTCATTTCCATGGAGACAGTGGTATATAATATATGTTAAGGGTTTGGCAAATTTAGGCAACTGGAATATTTATTCTGAATATTGCTCTTCTCTAAGCAATTTACACCATCAAGCTAACACAGTATGTGTCATCAAATGTTTGTTAAAAATATTAATTGGAGAGAAACAGAAGTATTATTGCATTAACTTGATTTCATGATAATGAGTGTTTATGGATTTCAGGTATCAAAACTTACTTCATGAGTCCGGAAAACAGTGGTGAAAGCGTTTAGCTCCATCCATCGCATGAGCAACTCTTCGCTTCGTTGGTAATTAATAAAAGGTAAGTTTACAGCACAATAGCCTCCAATATCACTATGGTTGAAAGCATATCCAGAAAGTCCACTGCTCAGTAGGCCAACAACGGCACTTTTTATTCCATCATTAGCTTGCCAACTTACCATTTGGTCTCCTTCCCAAAATAGCATCCCCCATTTGGGACTATCCCTGAAACCAGCCCTCATGAAGAAGACCAAAGCCTCTTCCGGGTCTTCTCTCTCCTCACCCACACAATGTGTCTTCCATTCTTCCACAAACTCTCGGTTTATTTGGGCCCATAGCTCTGGGTATCTATTATGAGCTGAAAGAGGATCTTCACCTAAGATAATTAATCCAGATTGATCAGTATCTCTATTGCATATGAATCCTAGCCACATGAAGAAACAAGTTAAAGTCTTTCTGTCTTTACCTGAATAGAGAGTGGCATCTGCAGGCAGGCCTTCACCAAAATCAGCCATCCACCCTTTCACTCCATCATCAACCATTTCCTGTAAAACCTGCTTGAACCAACCAGCAGTATGTGGGTGGGTCAGATCCATCATTCCCACATCAAATGCCGTATTTGGAACCATATATGGCTCTCCATGCTTGTCTTTCACTAGGATATCCAGCTTTTTTGCCTCCTCAAAAGATTTCTCCTTCGGTTTGGTTTCTCATCAGTCTGTATAAAGCAAAGCAACCAAGTCTTGAACTCTCAGGTATTTGACAATGCTTGCAAAATATGTTTTAGGGGCAGTGCCATCACTTTACTGTTAAAAAAGAGATGCATACTATGCGAAGACAATGTACTTCAAGAATGATGGCATGCTCTATACATTGATATGGTCATATGTCACACACCAGATGATCATAGATTGATAATTTTTACAAATTACAATGGTAATGCCATAAGTTCTTTGGAAAAGAAAAATACCGGAGCCAGACAAGGATTGCAGTATGTCATCACTTTAATATTCTTTGCACTGAGATCCTTAACTAGTTGCTGCCACCCATGATACCTCATCGTATCCACTTCCCAATTCCACCATAGTTGCGATCCAATCATTGTCTCCCTCTGCCCTACCCAATCCTGCAATTGAAGTGCTTCAGGGTGAGAACTTCTACATGAAGATATGCATACATGCCATCTAAGTAATGACATAAAAAAGGATGAAGAATTATTATTTTGGAACTGCCTGAATCAGTTTGATGGTTAAACCAGTTAATGTAATCTAAACCTTTTATAGTTTCTCTTTAACTGGTGAAAATCGTAATGCTTTTGATTTTAAATGGCTAGAAAATTAACATGGCTGTAAGTATTTGTGGATTTGAAAGATTCTGTAGATTTCAATATGCCTTGATATGCTTCTGTATAGGTACAGAGAATACCTGTAACCAAAATGCTGAAACGGGAACCTTATGATCTTTCAATTCATCACAAACACGGCGTACAGCTTCTGTGCCACCTTGCATTCCAACAACCGCCCCAGATATAATCCAATTAGGAAGCTCAGGAGGCCTCCCGATAGTTTCTGTGAAGTGTTCAATAAGCTCCGAAGGTGAGTTGCCATTCAGTATTCTTCCTTGAACTGAATTGCTCTGGATCTGCAAGCTCCAATATACAGAAAATAGGAAACTGCAAGTTTAAACTCTGAACGAGTCCATTCAGTGCTTGAAATATTTTCCTCATTTAAATTGAGTGTTCTATTTTATGTGTAACTTCAGTTTGAAAAGAGAAATGCTAATTTTGGGTCAATGAAAATTTCTGTTTACTGAATATTCTGAATTTTGCAAATAATTCATTGGATAAAACATAAACATTCTAGACTGAAAACATATTTCTCACTTGGCATTCATGTTGCTTATTGACATACAGAATGGTTTCTCCCTGTCGTTCACCTTCTTGCTTCAGCCTTCACTCTCGTCTTTCCAGTACATTAGTAACGCTCTCGTGAATAATTTTATTCTGAGTTCCTAAATTCTATCCAGTCCAAAGTATTTGAAATCTAATATTCTCACCACTCACTATACCCAATAATAATTAATATGCAACAATTGTCAAGAATTACCTGTATCTGAACTCTGTCATGTCTTGTCAGGTCGAATACAGAATAATCGTATCCTTCAAGGTAAAGAGACCTCATCTTAGATGTGATGTAGAATGGTGAAGGAGCATAAGTTGTACTCCAATCACCCCCAGCCCTGCAATAGGAAGAAAGAAAGGTAAGTTTTTTAATTGTCATATTTGTGCTTGACTGGAAATTATTGGTTGAATAGCCAATAGCTAATCTACCTGTAGCTAACCAAGTTAGCAGCAAAAGTAATAGGTTGGTCCCCTCTTCCAATTCCCTGCTCTTGAACCAAAATGGGCACCCTTTTGCCTTTGAAGTCCATATGAGAGAACTGCTCCCCAAAACCGTAAAACCTTTCATTTCCTTCACTGGAATAGGTTATACAGACTCTATTGAATTCTGTCAACTCTGTAGCCCTCATTTCCATGTTCTCCTCTGATGAAGAAGAAACTGCAACAAACCCTCGAGACCTTGTAAAGAACCGACACCATCCAAGCTTTCGTTTTCTAATCTTTCCTAGCTTTCGCCTTAATCGGTGGTATCTTCCCAAAGGAGTTGGAGAAATTCTTTGCTGAAATTCAAAATTTGGTGGTCCAGTTCTCACTTGAAAACCAATTTGGTTATTATTCTTTTGATCAAATAGGACCCGATACCTTGCACAAGTAAGTGGTCCCCTTGTCTCAAACTGTATGTCTTTGTAAAAGCCCGATTCTTGATGCCTCTTCTTCCTCCCATTACTTAATAACCAACCTGTTATCAACAAAACAGGAAACTGGGTATCCTTCAAATCACTTATCTGATTCAAACCCAAATTCCCAGATGAAAGATCATGATCATTAGAGTGATCAAAATGGTGATCAGGCTCATTAATCACTCTTATATCTTCAATAGTTTGATGATCACAAACCAAATAAACATTCCTATCGTTTATAGCAAAAGATCCTCTGCTCTCTTCCACTTCTGTCTCGCACAATGCTGCACTAACAAAAGCTTGTCCTGGGATGGTAGACCACAGGGCCTTTGTAGGTTGAGAGTGATGATAAATTGAGACATTCCCTCCATTTTTGGTGCTCCAAAGAAGCTGGAAATCCTTGCCAACTGAGAAGATTTTGTTTGATGGGACTGTTTGAGAATTGAAAAGAAGACTTCCTTGAATGAAAGGGAGTGATCTTGGGGTTGAAGGGAAGGGATTGTTTAGGTGTTTATGATGCCTTTTGGTTATTTTTAGGGTTGCCATGTTGTTGGTTATCACAGAATAAACTGGTTTATATGTCTGTACGCCCTGTTAATAGATTCAGAAATAGAGCCATATATATATATATATATATATAGTGAATCTTCTTGTTAGAATTTTTCAATTTCTTTGTCCAAGGTGTTTAGAGGGAAGAGGGAAGAAGAAAGAAAAGTCTTTTTTTTTTTTTCCATCAAAGAATGAAATCTTGTGCTGTAGTTGTGAGTAAGGGATTGAGTGGACTGGTCTCATCCATTATTAATTTTTATTTATTTCATTTATTATATATTCAAAGCGGGTTGATGCACTTATGTCCCACTTCTTATCTTTTCTAAATGTCGACTCAATAAATGCATTATAAAGTTCTCTTTTTAATATTTGGAAGAAGTTGATCCCAGATTCTCAAATCATGAATAGATAAGTCAATTCCATCTAGCCTTTCCTTTTGAAAAAGGCCCAAAAAAAAAAAAAAGGAATTTTTTATAGGCAGCAATAAAGACAGAATTCGAATTTGGCTATGCTAAGTTAAGAAATTTTATAATATACTACGAGTAATTAGTGGCGTATACATGTAGTTACTCCATGAGAACTTACTTTGATGAGAGAAATAGACACACAAAAAAGAGAGAGAAACAGGAGAGAGAAAATAAAAAAATTTGAGCGAATGTGAAAATCTTCTTTTCACTTTTGATGGTTATAGATGTAATTTTTATCTTCTTTTTAATGTGTCTATCTCTCTTCCAAAGTGAATCTATGGAATAACTATTATACATGTCACTAGTTCTCTTGATGTATTATAAAATTTCTCACGCTAAGTCTACCTTTTTTCGTTTTTTCCTCAGTTTTCTTCGTTGGACTTTGAAATGGTCTTATTGGCCGGCATCTTTGATTTTTATTTTTATTTTTTTTTGGACCGTTAGTAGTTTTTTTTTTTTTTTTTTTTTTTTTTTTGAATCATCAATAGTTAATAATTAGTAGTTAGCGGGATAAGAGATGAGAAATTATTATGATTTTTTTTTTTTTTTGAATATTCTGTAACTTAAAAAAAAAAAAAAAAAAAAAAAAAAAAACCTCGTTATCATTAAATTAGAAACCAAACCAGAAACCTATTGGTGGCTAGTGTGTTTTGAAATTGATACATTAAAATTTGAACTGTCAAAGTTAATAAATTTTTTATACTTATTTTCTTTACAATCTTCCTTAATTTCGGTGATGAATAAATTTGTTTCTATATTATTATTTTGTAATCCAATCCTCTGGGAAAAAAGCTAGAACAAATAAATCATGATAGATATACCAATCATCACCCCTAATCTGTAGCATTCAGGAAAAAAAACAACAACGACGACGACGAAGACGACAACTTAGAGGATAGAATGTTCAAAGAATCTTTGGTTACGCCTTAAACGGTGTTAGACTTACGTACACACTGCAAGTAGACAAGGAAATAGACGTGATGTTATCTTTTGTGAGAAATACGATTCTCCTTTTGGGATTCCCATTGCGTATATTATACTTCTATTGAAAACAACTTTTAGCAAAATCAAAATACAGTGTCCTATTTTATTTTGTTTTTTTTTTTTCAAAAAAAAAATGTGCGTTTTATTTTATTTCACTTTCTTTTTGAAAAGTTAATTCATTTTACTTTTACTTTATAATAATTTTATATTATCAAAATACTTGCATAATAATGCAATGTACTTAGACGTTATTAAGGAACCATTTGCTTCCTACCTTTACATTTTATGTACTTTAAGGTTACCCGGCCCAAAGCCCTTAGAACTTGACTCCATGCTCATCTTATTTTTTATTAATTTATCTTCAAAAAAAAAAAAAAATTGATTTCAAGTACCCAAAGCTAAAATACAAACACATTTAAAGACTAACAATTCATTCGATAACATGTCTTTATTTCAGATAAGTTTATAATGTTTTTTTTTTATGAAAAAAATATCTATTTAAATCACCAAAAATCATTAAATATATTATTTTATTTAAATATAATGATGTAAATAGATATTAATATCCTCAACAAAATACGGTATTGTAATATTGGAAAGCCAACGGATGTTCTTCATTTATGTTTTATTGCTTCCTCTAAGTTTTTTGTACTTGTGAAACTATGAAGTATGAACTTAGTCGGGATCATAGGCAGCCTTCATATCGCAATTCGCATGGAAATTGAATCTTCCCATGACGAGGGAATTATTCATGACCTTGCACGAACCCATGTTTATGCATGTGGGTTCATGGGTGGAATGCACATGGACTTGATACCTGCCACCATTCATTTTACATCCACATATATATACATCAATATATATATTGACTTAAAAATAAGCAATTCAATTTTGCTTGCTCCATCCATCAATATTGATTTGCTTCTTTTTAAGTCAATATTGATGTGCTATATATATATATATATATTTCCAAACAAGAAAGAAAGGAATTAAGGAACAGTTTAGATATGCCACTGAACCCAAACAAGTCTTGTCAACAAGAGAATATATGCCACATTTTCGATGTAGCTTCTTAGCTAATCAAAGTTTGGAAAAACATATATAATTAACGAGCATATATAGCTTCTTATTTGATAGTTAATTAACTACTAAGATCATGATGTTCAAGAAGCTAGAACATCCTCATTTTTCGAATGGAATTGATGCTATCATTTAGAGAGGTGGATGGAGTCTCCATTGAAACCACGCTCGAGGAATCCAACATCACTAAGATGTGCAACATCACTCCATGACTTCACCTCCCACTTCTTGTCCGAGACATGAACAACATTGACAGATGCATTTAGGAGTTTCCCACATGACGATTCCTCTGTGATTCGCATGTAAATTGCTCTCAGCACTCCTCCATGTGTCACCACAATCACCCGTTCTCCTGATCATAAGAACATATAAACATCGGCCATAATTTTACATCTCTTGAACAAAATAGTTGAATATTTATATATAAATCATTTACTGAAATCAATATCCATATAATAACAAGGACTAAGCCCAAAATTAAGTAGGTAAAGGGCTATAACTCCAATTCCAGACTGATGGATATGTACGTACGTTGCATGCAGCAGGTCATAGACGAACAGGGGCAGCCCCAAGAATTCAAGTTTGAGTTTTACGAACAAAGACTTGATTGATGTAAAGGAATAGAGGTGAAGAACACAAACCATTATGTTTTGATGCAATTTTCTCAAGAGCGGCAAAAGACCTATCACAGAGCTGATTAAAGCTCTCCCCTCCTCCCTGCAGTGAACGGTAAAAAGAAAGAAAATAAATAAATAAACATATAAAAATCAAAAGTCTATATATTAAACACTTCCTTTCATTTGGCCTGTTAGATGAAAATTATGGCAAAGAACTAAAAAAAAAAAATTAATGTTCATCTGGCTAATTTGTATAATAATGCTATCTACAATATATATAGTTTTGTAAACAAAAGCATAGCATGAATATTAATTATGGGAAATCTTACAGCAATTTCAAGATCATTTTGGGGAGAGAAAAATGCATCATAAGCTTCAGGTTCCTTCTCTTTTCCTTCATTCCAAAACAACCCTTGTATGCTTCCTACATGCCTCTCCTTCAGCTCGGGTACCACAATAACCTACAAAATAATAATTAAAATTGACATATTAGGTTACAATTAACTTTCAAAATAAATAAATAAATCCCCACATAAATTACGTAGGATCCACCATAATATTACTGTCAGAGCACAAATATTTTATAAAATGTGGGCTCGTGATATATAAGTCGGATTTATAAAATAATATTGTTTCCATCATTTTCCACTTAATCCAAGAACTGCATGCGATATGTAAATCTTTTTTTCTTTTAACATTAATTTATGGACTAAATTATAAATTAATCCATTTAGTTTTTCAAATAACTAACTAATTAACTAATTCCTATTTTTTAAATCTATTTATAACTTCTTCTTCTTTTTATTTTTGATATAAGAAGAACTATTAAATTAACTCTACTCAACACTAGCTAGTTAATGGACTAATTAATTAGATTTTGATATAAGAAGAATTATTTAATTTATTTTGTAAAACTAGAGGAACTAATTTATAGTTTAGTCTCATTTATGCGTACCTCGGGGCAGAAGCACTTCTTGGCAATCAAGTCAGCAGTATCTCTGGCTCGCTTGAGATCAGACGAGTAAACAATTGTTGGCTTCAATTCTTTGGCTAATCTCTCTGCTATCTGCATGATTTGTTAATCACACATACCAGACCATTACAATGTTAATTAATGTCAAATAAACACAATAATACATCAAATTTTGAAATATTTGGATCTTGAAATGCATGCTGAAAAGAGAACGAATTGATCATACTGCAACTGCTTGTTTTTGCCCCACTTCATTCAACTCTGATTCAAGTTGTCCCTGTACCAAAAAAAAATCAAAAAAAGGTTTAATGATCGGATCAAATGTGGACAGACATGGGTTGAACTACATGTTTATAAGCATGGTTTAAAGTAGCTTATATATATTACTGAGAAAAAATATTTAATTTATCCTTATGTAATAAGATGAGTTTTTAATTTATCTTTATATTTTTAGTTGGATTAATTTTATCCTCATAAAATAATTGAGTTTTTAATTTATCATCTGTTAACTCTTTTGTGTTCAAATTAATTGAATTAGTCTACAAATGATTTAATCTTATATTGAAAATAATCCTAAACTCTATAGACATGTTAATCATATATATCCGAAACACATGACAAAGAAAAGGAATTTAAAAAATAAAAAAAAAATCATAGAAGATCAAACCTCTCTCATTCTTCGAAATCTCTCACCCATCCACTCTTAGTGTCTCTCTCTCTTTTCGGTGATCTCCCTCCTCTTCCATCAAAATTTTCATTTCTTTTTTATAATATTAAGTTATGTGAATGACTGGTTATGTTAATTTGAACGACAAAAATTAAAAAAAAAAAAAAAAAAAAAAAAAAAAAAGATTCAAAACTCAATTATTTTGTAATGATAAAATTATCTTAATTAAAAATATAAAATATATTAAAAACTCATTCAGTTATAATATAAAAACAGATTAAGCCATTTTTCTCATAATACTGTGATATCATTTTTTTTTTTCATTTTATGACAATTTTTGTTTCTTATTGTATCAAATGGGACAGAAAAACATACCTGAATCCTTCCAGCAGCATTCCAATTGGTCTCCCCATGACGAACAAGGACAATTTCAGTGGTTCCATAAGGAATTTGACTCAAGACCCCCTCATTGCAGGTCAAGCTAATAGCTCCATTAATCCTGACAGTCAAAAACTAATTATATTAGATTCTAAGTGTTTAAACATAGTCTTTACGAACATTAACAGCGTTAGGCCCAACAAATGAGTAAATAGAGGGGTTAATTTTATTCAAATTAGAATGGTTAATACTTATACCATTATTGCCTCAATAATAAAGTTTACCTTAGCAGTGTGTATATATATATTTGTCCAATCTTCTCCAATTTTTTTTAGTTTTTTTCAAGTATTTACATACTAATTTTATTCGGAATAAAAATGATAAAATTTAACTCTTTTTTAACAATTGCGACTTCAATATTCAAACTCTATATATTAAGAAGAAAATTCGATAGAAAACTAGCTCCATTATCACTGGACTGATAAATTATCGTAATCTTATTCAGATTTAACTCCATTAAAACTAAACTAGATTTGACCACATAGACGTGCAGGTTTTCATTTTCATGTTCTACTTAATTGGATACCTAACTAGACTAGGTCTTGGATGATCCAAATTTCGATTCAACCGGACTAAGTTTTTTTTTACAGCTATGATTTCAGACTCCTTATAAAATTGCAAAAGACACCTGCTTTTCTGCAGTCTAATTAAGCTTTGGAGACAATATGAACCAAACAAACAAAAATAAACTATAAGCTTTTGAGAGCTTACTTAGCAGCATCAAAAGAAAGGACACGAGCAGAAGCAGCCATGGGAAACAGAAGCAAAGGATTGTTTGAATGCAAAAGCTAAGAATAGAGGAATACAATTAATCTATGGACGAGGTATATATAGAAGAATCCTACTTTCAATCAATAAATAGACATCATTAAAAACTGCTACTATATTCTTTCGATTCTAAATTAAGAAGAAATACAATTTCAAGAAGGTAATGCGTTATTTTTTTACTTTTTGGTAACACAACTCAGGTTCCATTCTACTCATTTATGCATTTTTATTTTCTAGTTTGATAAATGAGTTTTGCACATATTGAGATTTTGTATAATTCGAATTTTTTTAATTGAGACCCTAAGTGTTTTTTTAATCTGTCCAATTTAAAAATTCTACTATTATGTTGCTCTTATTTCAGATCTTGACGTGCCACATAAACACATGTGGCAAGCTCTAGTCAACGACAACTTACCACGTATCATAATGGGTCCAAATTAAATTGGTGACATGATAAGTCGTCATGCAATCCGTCATTGACTACAGACTCAGCTTGCAACGTGTGCTTATGTGGTAAGTTGTCATTGACTAAGGTCCGAAACAATAATAATATAAAAGTAGAACTCTTAAATTAAATAAAAAAAATTTAGAATGTCAATAAAAAAATTTGAATTGTATAGGGGTCTCGATGTACGTAAAAAATTTTGAGAATTTATATCTTATTCTAATAGTAACTAATAATATAAAAAGAGAGAGAGAATATTAGAAAAAAAAATTGAGCCTAATTGAAAATATTTTTTATCGCTTTTGAAAATATTCTTTTTAGGTTCACTTTGAGGAAAGAGATAGGTACAAAGAAGAAAATAAAAATCACATTTGTTCATTCCTATTAAACCAAGTAGGAAAAAAAAATAATACTAAAAAAATAACCAATAATACTTATTTCATGAGCTTGTTTTGAAAAAGAGAAAGAATTAAAAAACAAATCTAGTTAGAAATAGTCGTGTTATAACAATTATATAAAAAAGAGAAAAAAATTATATCTAAAGCTATCAAAAGTGATATCAATATTTTTACCTTATAAAATAAATATTATTTTTAATTATTTTTATTTTATTTTATTTTTTATCTATTTCTCTTTATAGAATAAATATTATTCGTTATTCTTGAAAATAAAATTTCTCCTTATTTGCCTAACCCCTTCATTATTGACTTAACTAAAATGCTATTTTGCAAGCTTTCCATTGCCAAATAAACTCATCTTATCAAATAAAAAACGATAGTAAATAACAGAAGAACAAGAACAAGAAAAACTTATATTGTGAACCATTGCGTCATAATTTTAATGTGACTCGAGATAATGGGTTTCGCAATGGTATCGTCTGGTATACATTTTTCTTTTCTTTTTTTTTTAAATCTTGATATTTAGCATTACTCCTACTGATTATGTCTCCACTTAATATATTAAAATCAATGATCTAATGCTTATCCTTTTTTTTTTAGATTTTTCTTTTTAGTTATCACTAAATTTTTGACCCACGCTACGTCGTGAACTTGGATAAAATATATAAAATTATTTAAAATTTTTATTTTAATTTAATAATCTATTTTACGGTAAAAAGTAATTATAATTTTTTAATCAAAAATTTTTTATTTAACTATTTCTTATTTATGTTTTTAAATTTTAGAAATAAATAATAAATGAAATAAATTATTGGTTTCTTTAAAATTTTAACGTCCAATTAATTGTTGGTTCCTTTAAAACTTTAACACCTAACATTATTAAGAAATAAAAATTCAAATTTTATTTGAAAAAAGGGGGGAGTCATTTATTGTTCAAATGAACAGTAAACAATAAAAAAAGAGAAAGAAAGCCAACGCTAGCCAAAAAAAAAAAAACCAAAGTGCTGCAGCAATGAATAATGATTAACACTGTTCATTACTACAGTAAAAATCATTTTCCTTTAGTTTATAGTAATAATAATTTCTATTTTTGGTGATAGTTTTAAATCACAGTTTCTTTGTTTAAAGTTCATATTAGCCCTTGTTGTTGTGTGGAGTTTTCAAATGGGTCCTTAAAAAATTATATCCCCTTCTAAATGTAATGAAATAATAGTTCTTCCAATACTAATAAATGGTTTCTCGTAAATTCTAACATATGAATTACCTGCTCTCTCATTCTATCTATATGAAAATCACATATGAAAGGAAAAAATATATAACGAAATTATTATTTTACTTTCCATTTAGACATTATTACAAAAAACACTAAAAAATGCATTAAACTTATTCAAAGCCTGTCCACCCTCGCACATTTCATTATGGACGCACCTTCCCTTCATTATGCTTCCATTCTCACTTCTTGCGTTATCTAATCTTTCTTTTGTCTCATTTCCTTGGTTTTATTTGCTTGTATGTTCTAAATTGAAAGAATATTAGTTAGTAATAAATGTTGAAGAAAACAAAACATTTACATTTCACTCAAATATTAGTGATCAACATTTTTTTTTTCCTTCTCTCTATATTGCATCAAAAAAAAAAAAAATACCCTTTCTATCTCAAAATAAAGGTCCCTTTTGATTTTTTTTTTTTTTACAAAATTTAAAAAATTTATTAATTATAATATCATATCAATATTTTTTACAATATTTTTCTAAAATACCTTTTCTTGTTAATTCTACATTACAAAACAACAAAATAAAAGTGTTCTAGAAAAAATAAGTAACAAAAAAATTTGCCGACACAAATATTTTGAAACAAATATAAACAGACAATTTTTATAAAACAGAAGTAGAATAGTACTGTTGAGATACTACATAATATACTGTTCATCTAATTAGTTTAGTTTGCCTCAAGGTCAAACACTAATGCAACCTCAACCACACAATTGGTTTACTACAGTTTCACAATTTTCTCTAGAGTAGAAAACAAATTGAGAAGAAAGCACTTATATAAAAGAAACATAATGACAGACATAAGATCAAACATTCCTACAGAGAAGATGGGGATCAACTGTTGGGAGATCACCAGCAGTAGAAAGATCTGCATAAACAGCAAAAAAATGTTTCACATTCTGACTGATAACTATGCATATATGAGAGAGTTGACAAGAAGGTAATCCATGCATAGGTACCATCAAACCATTCAGTCAAGCAAATCCGAAACTGCTGTCCTCCTAAATGCATCAACCTGACCAAGTTGCGCAGCCAAAGACTTGTTAGGGAATAAACCATCTGCCTTCAGCCTCTCCCTCATGCCATAACATGGAGCCTTGGCATTAATATATGCCTGCAGTAGAGTATGGAACTGCTTCATTCGAGCCTGATAACCAGCTTGTCTCATCCGGTGAAACATTTTCTCTGCGTTATGTATGTCACCCTTCTTTGCATATTTGTCCATTATAATCATGAAAGAATTAAACATCGGCTTCATCTGATTCTGTTGGGCAGCCTTGTTCAGTATAGAGTCAGCCTTTTCCACCTCCCCTGCTTCCACATAAAGCTTTATAAGTGCATCCCATGTCATCGGGCCAATGCGGCACCCATTATCACCCATTCGCTTGATCAAATCTTTACCCTTGGATAGCATCTTGTTGTTCGCATAAACCTTCAAGAGTGCAGAATAATGCTTTGAAGAAAGCTTCTTCCATGTTTTTGACATCAACTCAAAAACTGCCTCAGCTTCATCAATTTTCTTCAGCTGTCCCCAGGCTTCAATGGCAGCCATGCATTGATCAAGTCGGGGATTTTTCTCGCAGAACTTCCATACCCTACCCACTTCATCAGCCTTCCCAAGAGCACCATAAAGAGGAAGCATAAACCGGCAAGCCCATCGATGCTCTTCTAAGTTGCCCCCTTCCATCTCTTTCAAAATAGCCTCAGCTTTTTCTTTGAGGCCACCAGATACATAGTGCTTGGCCATGATAGCTTGGGTTCCGATATCAGGTTCAATGCCTTCAGCTTTCATTGTCTCTACAATTTGATCCATCCCCATTATGTCATTGGATTTGCCTTTGGTGTCTATTAAGATTTTGTAAGTAAAAGGAGAAGGCTTGACATTTTCTTTCTCCATTAATAACAACACATCAGCAATTTTCTTCTTGTCAAGCCTCTTGTAGAGCAGCAGCAGTTGGTTGCAAGCAAATGCGGTGATTGGGAATTCCAGGTCCTTCATTTTGTTGAATACTTCCTCTGCTTTCTTCGTATTATTAGCTGCAACACAGTTGGCTAGCAAGGTTCGGTAGACCAGCTCCCCTTTAAAGGATTTTGGGATTTTCGCAATGTAAGCCTCTGCCTTCTGGAGACCACGCACCTTTGCAAGTAAATCAAGGCGAGAGGCATAATCTCTTTCAAGAAAGTCTTGTTGCTGCTTATTTGCCTCCAACCACTCTGAGAGCTGCAAAAGCAACCACAAAATTGCTCACAGGGGCAACCTTTCATAAAAACTCTAAACAACTAAAGGTCAGACAAGTAACTCTCACAACTTTGCAATCAACAAGAAACTCATAAATCTTTCGAATAAAACCCAAACAATCACCATTCAAACTGGTGTTTTGAGAAAAGATTGTAATGAAAAAATCCTATCCATTTGTCTGTGCATGTAGTAAACGGGAGGCATTATTTATAAACGCCTTAGGTTTGCGACAACCTGGTGAAAATTCATGTTTTAGAGAAACCACTTCATGCAAAAAATGCTGAAGGATAAGATAGTTCCAAAGACTCCCACCCAAGGCCAACTTTGGTTATTATAACTGTTCTAAAGTGTTCAATTTAGCATGACAAGAGGAGAGGAAGGAACCCATGTCTTGTTAAAACAATTTATAGCCTCAATGCAGTTTAATTTGTGAAGCTAATTGCATTTAGCTGCCACCAACTCTTGGACACAACATCAATTACTAATTCCATCTCACTTGGAAAACATCCCTATTTTATTACATCCACTTAACTGCTTTGTCCAACATGTACAGCAGGCATTCACTAGAGCACATTCTAATTTAATTTGCATTTTGATTGCTCACAGCATGCGGTACCCATGCTCACACACCCCCTCACACATGAATAGCAGGCCTCAAGTCAAACTTGATATACAAGGTCAACAGCCTCAAACAACTGACAATTCACTACATAAGATAGCTATAAGAAAAGGTAGCATCAAGTCCAATTACCTGTAGAGCCCTCCCAAACATTCGACGCCTACGAAGATTGACCATGGCAGAAGAGATCTCCGACCTGTCCAGATCCTTTCCTTCTGCCACCCACTTGTCAAGAACACTTTGAACAGAAACACCAGGAGCAGCCATGATGGCCTTGAACAGTTCTGCAGGAGCCCTTTTCCTCAGTAATCTTTTCTCGGCTGAGTCTGTTTCATTATCTGATAGTTCTAGTGCATTTTGAGAAGGATCTCCAATATCATAGTTGTCATCATCTGACAACTCGGGCTCAGAAATTAGCTGATCTTCATTTCCAGCCAATTCTTCAACTGCGTTTTCATTGCCACTAGCTGGTGTTTCAAGTTCAGAGAACCCATCCTCCAAATCATCATCTGATTCACTGCTTTCAGCACCAGCTTGTGAAGCAAAACCACGCTTCTCCAAATAGAACTTTGAACCAACATTTGTGCTGTGGTAAAATCGAGACCTCTGAGATACAGGTTGAGGAGACTCAAAAATGGTAGCCTTGCGTTCTAAATAACTAGATACTATTTCTGATTTAAAACAACAGGCACGAGAAGTTCCAACATTCAATCCACGGAACCTGGAAACAGAAAACAAAAAATAATTGCTCAAAAATATCCAAAACTAAAGGAAATATAAAAACTGCCCACTGCACAGAATCAATGGTATCAATGGAAAACCACCAGACCAGACCTAAAAAATTAAATGAACCATCTTTCTACTACAAGAAATGTAGTTTTAAACTGCTTGCAGAAACAGAACAACAAGCATAGAGAATGGGACTGTTATGGACATAGGTCAGGTACTTGTGTTCTCACTTGAGGGAGTGATGGTTGCAGTTGAGCCTGCAATCACGCCCTTCAAGACCCAAAGCAACCTATACAGATTCATTCTTCACCTGATTATACCATGCCTCAACTCTTGTTATGATTTTCACCACTTCCCTTTTCCCATTCCGGAAACCACACACAAATGGTGTTAGTTTATGCAACTAACCATATAGTATAGTATAGTATAATCCTATTTCACAGCTTTCACAATTTGTAACCAAACAAACTCATGAAATTACAGAATTCCAGAACCACCCACAAAACAAACTGTTTAACTGCCACTACTCTAACAACCAGCTAAATTAATTCAAAGAGGTTTCATTTCTCTTCCTTATAGGAACCTTAGGAGCAATGAGGCCTCCAAAAACTCAAAACCTCAATCTCCGGTTTTCCCTTCGTCCCTTTTGTTTTTATAGTAATAATTAAGATCGAACCTTTAATAACCAAAATGAAGAAGAAAACAAACCCATTTCTAACTCGCACCCAAATATCAACTGTGATTGATCATTCTCCAAATAAACAAATAAAATAAATAACAAAGTAATAGAGAGAGAGAGAGAGTTACTTGAGAGGATTGGAAGCTCGACGAAGAGCCGACATAGCTTTGGCTAATGAAGATGGAGTTGAAGATTTTTGGTGAAGAAAATTGAAATCAAATAATGTAAATGAGTGTGAGAGTAAAAAGTGACAGCGTCCCTCTTAAACCCTAGAGAAGCCTTTCAGGGTGTCTTGAAGGGTTTTTGGATGAACTATATAGAATTCAGCTTGGGCTGCAAACAAAACTGTCTTTTATTTTCAGAATTGCCCCCAAATACTCCTTTAGTTTTTTCAGCTACCCCTATATTCTTTTTTATCACCAAGCTAGAACATGTCTCTAGTGTTCTTAGCTATTTGAAAAATTACAAGTAGAAGTAAATTTTTTCATTATAAGTACTGATTAAATTTTAAAATATCTAGTCGATTTTTTCATAGAGATGTATTTTATATTTTTTCAACATAGAATATTTGTTTTTGCTTAAGTTTCCCCATTCTAAATATTTATTGGATTAATAATCATTTTAATCCAAATGAAGGCGAGATCTTAGATTTCTTATAAATAGCTAATAGCGCCTCACTATTTCATATTATAATTTGAGTATTTTTCAAAATTTATTTGAAATGAAAAAACATTAAAAAAATTAAAGATAAAAAAAAATCACTTTGAAAAAACACTTTTAAAGACACTCGTCAAATATTAGGACAAAAATAAGGCTATAAGACAAACCAACCGGAACGAAAAAGTGATGTTATAATTAAGTCAAATCCACCATAATTGGAGATAAAATACTAATTTTTAAAAAGTTACTCATGCCTTCATTAAAATAAATAAATAATACAAATGGAGTAATTATTATTCGTTTATTATTCATCTATATTTTTTTTATTTACTATTTATTTACATTTATAAGCATTATTCACTTAATATTATAATATTCAATGGCATTATTGTGATTTTTTATTTTTATTTAGGTATTTGATATGGCATTACTATGATTTTTGGCTTTTGTTGTACTTTGAACCCTAATATTTTAAATCATCTGTTTTTATTTTCAGCTTTTATTTATATGATGATTTTGTCCCTCATTGTAAAGCGAAATAGATAGAGAAACGAAAGAGATAGAAACCAACGACAAGGCCCATTTTGGAGACTTTAAATGTTGATTTTGGCTTTGATTTATTCATGTTAGAAAGACGAATTTATTTATGACAGTCGTAAGAGAGAAATCAAGACTCAAAATATGTTTGAGTTATTTAATTTGATTTGAATTTTGAGTTTTTTAGTTGCATTAAAATGAGTTTTAAAGTTCTAAATAAGTTTTTTGAACTAATTTCAATAATTTTGAGATGTTTAGAGATAAAAATTATGGTAAATTTGGTTTCAAAAGATCACAATATGGTGTCCTAATTTTTTAACAAGATTTTCTACGATTATAATTTTGTCGAAAGTTACAGTTCACCTTATGCATCATCCATCATTTCACTTTTTCCTAAAGTGTTGATCGGCATGTGTCTAGCCTATACACACATAGACTCGGTTCTCCATGCCCAAGGATGCAAGCTCGACATGAGCAAACCTAACCTCTTTTTTTCTTTTTTTCTTTTTTGGATCTTTTTTTTTATCATTTGATTGTCTTTATATTTTGAAAAACTCATAATTATTTTTTGAGTTTTCCGCAACCTAGCAAGAAAAAAATACGATGGTGTGTTTTTATATTTTAGACTTAACATATATTCAAATGATATTACTATTATTATTTGAAATTTATCCCTTTCAATTTGTCATTTCCTATGAAAATTCTTATCCAATTATTTTTTTCTTTCTATTTTTATTAACTTTTATTTGTATATAAATATAATTTATTTTTTTCTATGTATGGATTTTAGAATAATTTTTTATTAACATGATTATTTTCTTTTATTAAATAAATAATATGATGATTTCTTATAATTTTTAAATGAGACTATCATGATTCTAAATATTTATCTTTGATCTAAAGACCGAAAGTGTATTACAAATAAATTTTCTCGAGTTTTTGAAAAAAATAATCTTAAAAATAATTAATTGATAATTACAACTAAGAAATGTTAAAAAAAAATAGAGAGAGAGAGAAGTGATCGTTATAAGTGCAAGGCCTATTTTAATATCCAAATTTGTTTTTTATGCTTTATATGTATATTTATTTTGTTATTTATGTTCATGTCGTGCTTGTGTTATTAGTGAAAAGTATTTTATTTGCAAAATTTATGTTGCTAAGTGTTACGTGTGAATAATGAATTAATTAACAAGTGAAACTTGTGTTATTAGCGAAAAGTATTTTATTTGCAAAATTTATGTTGCTAAGTGTTACGTGTGAATAATGAATTAATTAACAAGTGAAAGACTTAAAAAATATAGTTTAATTAAATAATTCTCATACATGTATAACTTAAAACTTAAATTTAGTTGGTTATCTAAACATGTATTAATCTAGTAAATAATATTCTAATTAAGAGTTCCACCTATATCAAAATGTCTAAGTGTAGAATATTCATCTTAGGACATGTGCCTCATTATGGCTATTTTGGTCCAAAAGTTTCAACCAAGAGAGGGAAATAAAAGGGGAACAATTTACTTAGGTTTTCATTTGCCTTCATCCATCTTTGAGAGCTAAAACACCTAAGAGAGAAATAGAGACAACAAGAAAGGATCCGAATTTCTCAATGGAAAGAAGATTGGTCGAAAGTAAGGGAAAATTGCTTGAAAGGAGGAGAGTTTGGCCATGAAGGAGAGAGTTGATCAAGAGCCAACTCGAGAGGAAGAAAGAGGAAGAGAAGGTTGTTTTGGTAGAGAGTTTAAGCAAGGAAGAGATGGGGGAATTCAAGAGATTTTAAGGTGATTTCTACTTTAGTCAAACCTAAGATAAGTGTAACTTTAACTCACCACAAGACTTAGGATTTATATGTATTGATTTGGTAATATGTGTCATGTGAAACCTAGGGTTTCTATTTATGCAATTGAGTGAATTGTATTCAATTGATGCTTAGGTTATAAAATTAATGAATGATTGACCAATGTGATGTTGTGACATGTATTTAATTATTAATTAAATATGTGTAATGATCTATTCATGTAAAACCTAGAGATTCTAGGGGTTTGAGTTAGTTGTTAATCGATGACTTTACATTGTGATATTGTTGAGTAAGCAATTAATTGAAAATTGACCATTGAATTAATGATGGATATGTATTTAATTGTTTATTTAGCATGAGTAATGTGAGACTAAAAATTCTTAAGTTTGGCTATATGACTAATTGTTGGTTAGCCTTAATTGATGAATATACATGGTTATGGTGATTGGTATGTATGAATTGATAATTGTACATTTGAACACGTGTTTAATTGATGATGGTTTAATTATGTTGGGTGACTTTGGGATGGATTCAACTTTGGCTTTTTGATTTCGGGATGGTGTTGTTACTTAATGTAATTCAATTTTGGCTTGTGAATGAGTGATTGAGATTTGCTTAAGGTTATTTGATTTGGAATGATTTTACTTATTAATTGAATTTGGTTAGGGTTATTTATTTAGTATTTGTGTTATTAGTTGATGGATGTTGTTGTTACTTGGTTTTGATGATTGAATTGTTTATAAAGAAGTATGATAAATTCATTCATGCTTGATTAATAGAATGATTTTATGTCTTTGGATAAATTGAATACTCGAGAGATGTTTGTTGTGATTCAATTTTAGGCTTGTGAATTGGTTGGTTGTAAGGAAACTTGATGAGTTAAACCTAAGTGTATGCTTGTTGTAATTTGGTTTTGCTTGTGGTTACTTGATTTGGATAGTTAAATAGTTGAATGGTTGTGTTAATGTGGGATGACTTAACTTGTTGATTGAATTCGATTAGGCTTGTTGATTGAATGAATATGTAATTACTTAGTGGATTCAGTTTATTTGATGGATTTGGTTTGACTATAGTTGCTTGGTTTGGTTGGTTGAATAATTGAGTGATTTTGAGTTAGGTAACTATTTGATGTCACTTAATCATGTGTTTAAGTGTTTAAGGATATTTAAATGATGAAGATGTTCTTGGGTGATTCGGCATAGGTAGGTTTAATTAAAGATTTATTGCTTGTGATGCCATGTGATGGATTCGACCTATAGCCATAGATTTGTTTGAGGTTGTTATGGTTTGATCGATTCAAATTAGGTGATTAATTAAGGTAGCTTGGTTTATGTTCATTATTGGTTTTGGCTTGATGTTGAAAGGTTGTATGTTTGTAGTGCTATTTATTAGTCAATTGGCAATTGAATGAGTATAATTTGATGATTAGGAAGGAAAAATTTTAAGAAAATTGCTTAATTTAGCTTAAGCCCAATTTCGATCCACTAAGGTCCAATTCAGATTTAGACATGAAATTGTATCATAAATGTTGATTAGATTGTTTCCTATTGATCATATGTGTCTAAAATACTTAGTGTTAAAAATTTAGAAGGAAATGAGAAGAAATTAATTGGGTTTTAATTATGGAAAATTTCGACCTAAAATGGGCAACTTTAGGGTTTAGTTTTAAATGGTCTTTAATCCTTAAATTGGTTATTTGATCTTAGGATAGTGTAATAAAATCAATAAAAAAGAAATATTTTAGTAGAAATTAGAAATTGGCTTATAATAATGAAGTTAGATTTTGGGCCCGATGAGGCCCAATTGGAATGAATTCTTGTGATTAATTAAGTAATACTTAGTTAGGTTAGTTCATGAAATTAGAACTAATTTGAGAAAAATTGAATGTGGAATGGATGTTAAAGATTGAAGAAAAGATTAGGTTAAATTAATACCCAGTTCGGCCTAACTAAGAAAATGTAGAATTATGGGATTATTTAGCTGAACTTTATACATAATTGTATTTTTGAATGGCAAGTAATGTGCTTGAATTATGGATGTTATAAATTGTTGAATTGTGGATGATTGTGAAATTTGTTGTTTGAATGATATATTAGTGTTAATATGGATTGTGTGGTTGGAATTATTTATGCAATGTAATATTATTAATGCAATTATGTTATTGATTTTGT